GTGAGTGTGTGGGTGTGTGTTTGTGTGTGTGAGTGTGTGAGAGTGTGTAGGTGTGTATGTGTGTGTGTGTGTGTTGTGCTAACATGTTGCACCGGTGACATCTGGAAACCACCGATCCGCCGCCTGCACGCCAGCATGTGAGAGGCAAAAAACACACGTGTAAAATGTCATCAGTGCAGTTTTTTTGCTTGGTCTCTCTAATTGACCCCGAACGACGTTCCACGCCGGCTGCAGGCGTCCTCGACTGCTCGCCGTGGGACACGAGAGGGCGGTTACTATTACCTATAAAGCTGTTTCGTTTCCTCCTTGAATAAAACATCCTTATCAATAATGCAGCGTGTGAAACAGTAAACAATTTTTTTACAGACAGAAAATGAAAGGAGAGCTTTAAAAAGAACTCTTTTTGAACGTGTCAGTCTTTGTGTTCATACCTGATGGTTACAGTGCCGTGAAATACCAGCACAGCGTGTGTGTGTGTGTGTAGTCACATCATATAAAATGCTAGAGTGCTCCAGATTTGAAAGACGGGCTCCTGATGGCTCGCTGTGTCTGTTTCACGCTCGGTGAATCCCGGGCAGGTATCAGAGCACACTAACCTACTGTACCGGCCCGTTCGCCGCCTTCCAGGTAATTAAAGCTCACTGAGTGACAGGCACAATGTAAACGATGGGGTATTAAACGAGCCCGCGGTGCTGTTAACGAGAGCTGAACCCTGAGCCTTCGTTGAAGCCAACGTGGTAATACAAGAATGTAAAAATACTCGGTGGGGGCGTGCGAGTCCTCGCCCTCACACTGAATTAAATCACACGCACGGATACACACAAACATTACAGCCGACCGCTGTGTCACCATGGTAGCGGAAACCGTCAACGCCGAGACGACTTAAAGGACCAGTGGGGAGGATTTAGTGACATCTAGAGGGGGTGACACTTCCTAAGCCCCGCCCACTTCGAACATAGAGTGGCATTAGCAGCTAAAGAGTCTGATATTTCCCTCAGGAGTTGGTAGAGAACAAAAACAGAGCGAAAAGAGAGTGAACACAGGTTTTAGTGGCCTCTAGTGGTGAAACTTCTGATTGAAACTAACTGAACACCACTCGCGTCTGTAATTGACGACCTGGGAACGGGCTGTGTAATGTGTAGGAGAAACTACGGTGGCCACAAAACGTTCGCGTTCTCTTTTAATCATCTTCAGTATTCTTTTCAACATCTAGATTGCACCTCCCTTGCTTCACCCTCACCTTCCAAGCTCAAAGGAGAAACTACGGGTGGCTGCAAAAACCGTGAAAAACACAAACGCCACCATCTAGAACAAGTGTTTAGTGGGTGTGGATATTTTATATTATATTCAGTGTATAACAATAGGAGCAGAGAACAGCTGATGAACAATAAACCCAGTGTCTATCTATTAATACTGATCAGAGATGAGTTTTCTTATTTTTAGCAACTTTTAATACAATTCTTTCTGTATTATGTAATTTCTAACAATCATACATACTTAATAAGCTTCTTTCTTCAAATTAAAGAGTTTTCATTTATCTATTTGATTGGTTTAAGAGAGGGAAGGCTCTGTGAAAGTAGCTTCAAGTCTTCACAGAAATGAACAAAATGTTGAGGTATAGTCCTACTGTGTATGTGTTTCATTATAATCAAAGCCCAGGGTTAGGAACCACTATCCGGTGGTGTTTCCATAACAGTCGGTGTGAATGTGTTGCGGGTCGATCCGGACAGGTTTCACACTCATTAACCAAAGTGAGCAAAACATCAACATCCTCAACCAGCAGCAGCTCAGTGGCGACGCTCTGCTCTCATCGCTCACTGAAACTACAAATAATAAGAGGCGTTGCAGGACTACAAATATGGAAAAGGTACAAATTCTTACCAAAATATTTATTTTAAAGTCTTAAATGACTGAATTTAAGGCCCATTACAGTCTCTCAGTGGCCGATGTTTATAGTTTTAAGGATTCTAGCCAACAACAACTGGCAGATTTCTCTCAATACAAGAAAGATTTATTATATTGAAGAATATTTGGCTGGTTTCTAGAAGGGCTGTTGAAGAGCTGAACAATGCGTCACATCTTAGAAACTGATCACGTCTTTTGTATGAAAACACCATAACTAGTAACTATAGGTGATAAATGTAGTGGAGCAGGAGTAAAAGGAAAAGTACTCAAGTTCTGTCCTTAAGTACAGTTGTGAGGTACTTATACACTGTAAAAAATGAGTTTTATAGTAGAAACTGTCAGCTGTGGTTGCCAGAACTTTACCGTAATTAATACAGTCAAAATGTTTCTACTGTTTTAGATTTTAATCCATATTTTACCGTATAAATACAAGTTTTTACCATAAACAAAGCAGATTTACGACATGAAAAGGGCATTTTACTGTGCAATTTACAGTAAAAAACTACTTTACTCCACTAAACATTTATTTAAAATGGTGTATAAATAAAGAGATAATAGTTTGACAGACATGTTTTACTTTACTTGAGTATCCTGCAGATTTGATTAATTACAATTAGACTCTATTGATCCCTGAATACCACCAGTACAAGCCAATTAAAACGAGCTCCACCTCTACTACCACCAATCAATGCATCGACAATTATAATCCTTCATTTCATCCTTCATCCTCCACCTTTAGGAGGAAATACCTCTAAACTGTACGTACAGTATTAGAGTCAATGCACTGACATGTGATATGAGTGTGGGGGCCCCTGTCTGCTCTTAAATCACCACAATTGGGACGCGAATAGAAAGGGTTGGTTGTGAGGTGGGGGGGTTGTTCAAAGGATTCTTGGTTATTCTTAGTGCGGCAGCTTTGCTCACACAATGGGTAGGAGGTAGATGAAGTAATTCACCTGCAGGCATCTGTAACAACATCAGCATGTCTCTTTTGACTGCAACAAAAGCACATGTCCTTATTGTCGCCTCCTCTCTCTACATTTTGTCCCAGAAGATGCCACAACAAGAGATGGAGAGATGATATCAGATGACTCATCTCACATTTGTTCACTTTTATTTCACAAACATGCACCAGAGAGAGCAGGAAGTGAGAGGAGTGCAGTTGCTTGCATTAACACTTTTTAATCTCTTGTGTCCCAAATCCGGGTTTTTTTTCTGTTTTTCCCAGCATCAGCGTTTGAGTCCCAGCTAGGATCCGAGGAAGGGAGGAGGATCTCATGACATCCTAACCCAAAAGTCCTGCTTCATGTTTCCAAGTAAACACTGAAACGGAACTAATATGATGCAGATTGCTGTTAATGCTCAGTGGGAGCCAAAACAGGAAAAACTCCTCTCTCTGTCAGGATTACTGTCCTGTTCCAACCTTGTTCTTTTTAGTTCAGAGAGAGAGAGAGAGAGAGAGAGACTGGTTTTTAATGCATTATATATATATATATAGATTTATATATTAAATAGCTGATGGGAGACAATATAAAAAACTGACATCTGGATGGGAGTGTAGTGTTAAATCCCCTCGCATTAAGATTATACTCGACTCAAATCCTGCGGGAATAAGACAGATCTGCTGGCTTTTATTATTATTAAGCTATTTTAATTAAATGTCCGGAGTCAAAGCGCAGAAACTTACCTCGAGCAGAAAGAAGCATTTGCGACGCATTTCCAGATCTTTACTGTTCACATCATTTTTAATGTGAGGCGTTAAATGACAGGTTGACTCTCCGCGGATCCTTTTTGGAGTTTAATTGTGCCACAAAATAAAATAAAAAATAAAAGGATGGAAATGAGAAAAAGAAGTAGCCAGAGAGGAGTCAGTCCGCGTAATATCGGAGGTTTAGATCCATTAATGAGGAGTCCAGGAGCGGGAATATGTCAGCTGGTGTTCAGGTGATGAACTGTCCTTTTCCGTTGGTCTCGGTTTCTCCCCGCGGATGAAGTCAGTTTGTGTTACCGGGGCTGGAAACCGAATCCACCTTGGAGAGAGACGCGCACCAATCCGACGGACACTGCACCGCCGGTACCCTTCAGGACTGGCCCCGCACCAAAACTGCTTTTACACGCATGGTTCGGTTCAAACACACACACCACCACCTCCTCCTCCTCCTCCACCTCCACCACCACC